ATTTAAATTTTATATAAAATATTTTTCTGGATCACGTGGTTAATTTTTTTCATCATAATTATTCTGTCGTTTAAAGTACTACATTAAGAAAAAAAATTTATTTTTTAAATTAAAAATAATATAAATTCCCATTTTTATTCTCATAATCTTATATTCCATTCATTAATTTTTTTAATTTTAAAAAATAAGGACATAATTAACAATATTCATAAATTCCATTATGTTGAATACTGCATAAAATTCGATAGGAAATCCTTTAATTATGTGAAAAAGTGTGAAAAGCAGAAAATCAACAATTAAGAATGTGTGTGTATATCTTCATGACTTAGTCAACCTGTTTTCAAAAGAACCAGAAATGCTTAAGAAGGCAAAGAGAACAGTCGGATTTTCAAGTTGTCATATTTCGCTCGTATTTCCTTGTAACTTGCTATTTTTCCATAAAGTTTACAGTGCAATTTAATAAAGAGATTGTTAACCACTACATGTGTCTGGATTTATTTATAAATTACGACAAACTTCACTTTCAGTGCGTGATCTCTTTCTTGTCGAACAATCATCAATTAACTGTTTATTTAGTAAATAACAAAATGGTCCTTCGAGCCGGATGTGCTGAAAGTGTTAATAAATAAATAAATCTCAGTATGAATTCTTCAAAGTGAACTTGTGATTTTCTAGTATATGAGACATTCTTGCACTCATACTTATTTGTAATAGCAAGTGATGTGTTGTGTGTGATTCATAACAACTTTTTCTACCATGCTAATGTTCCATGGCATATCTGTGTGTTACGAGATGAAAGGAAACTTAAAACTTTCCGTCCAAAACAATTCACATTGACTTTTACAAAAGTGTGAATATTTTCGCTTGTAAACTGGCAAGCGTGGTACTTAATTCAATTTCAACTACCACTGTTCCTCGTGTTTAATTCAAATACACCACGATGCCACCAAAACAACTTTCTGTGGATTTAGACTCGGAATTATCCACGTTTGATAGAAACTGTCGACTTATCAGAAATTTCGTTATCAATCTTGAAAAACTGGGAGCAGCTGCTCAATCTACCGCCGTTTTGAATGGGCGACTTAAGCTATTAAACACATATTGGACCAATTGTCAACAAGCGAGTTCCTACATCGAATTATGGGCAACAGAGGACGAAAGGGAACAACTTCCGTATTTTACAAAATCATACGCCGATCAGGTGGAGGCATCATTTCTTCATACCTACGATTACATCAATGAGAAGCTAGCTGCGTTAGAACAAAGCAACACGTCAAGGTCGTCAACTTCTGGTACCGCAAACGACAATGTAAGTCCATATAAAATAAAACTTTCTGTAATAAAAATACAAACTTTTTCGGGTGTTGTGACTGAGTGGGTAAAATTTAGACAAATTTTTACTTTGTTAGTGATTGACAATCCTGAATTAACAAATGTTCAAAGATTGCATTATTTGATTGCGTATGTGTCAGATGAGGCAGCTAAATTAATAGCGCATATTACTCTGTCGGATGCCAATTTCGATATCGCTTGGCAATTACTTGTACAACAATATGAAAATCGTCGTTCAATCATCGATGCTCATTTTAATCAATTTTTTTCTATTCCTCCGGTAGGATCTCACACACTGGCGGGTTTAAAAATTTTACATTCGAGTTACACTGAAGCATTGAATGCATTGCGCGCATTAGATCGAGATGTTGATCACTGGAATGATATTGTCGTTTATTATTTGATTCAAAAACTTGATAAGGAGTCGCGAGAATTTTGGGAATGTCAATTGGAAGATGAAACAACGTACACAACTCTTGAATTATTTTCAAAGGTTATTAATAAAAGAATTAGAACTCTAACCGCATTAGAATCATCTGTCAATCAAAACTCTCAAGCAGAAAATAAAAATTCTAAACCAAATAATAACAAAACATTGCGCGTGCATCACAATCAATCAACTGCAAAAATTATTTGTCCGCTTTGCAACTCGAATCACAGATTGATGCAATGTGAAAAATTTAAAAATTCTAACTTTTCAGAACGACAAAATTTCGTGAAAAAAATAACATTTGCTTTAACTGTTTATGTCGGGGACATTCTGTAAAAAAATGCAAAAGCAAATATACCTGTTCTCAGTGCAAACGAAAGCACCACACTCTGTTGCACAAATCGGGCTCAATTTCAAATACTACCAATTCCAACAATTCCAACAATTTCAACGACAATCCAACTCCTTCGTGTTCAAAAAATGATAACAACAATGAATCATCTCCCTTAGAGCTTACGTCTATTCATGGTAATCTTAAAAATAAAGCCACTCTTCTAGCTACTGCATGGGTTCAAATTGAATCCAGTGAAGGACGTAAGGTCAAGGTCAGTGCATTGATTGATCAGTGTACTGATACTACTTTTATTTCCGAAAATTTAAGTCAATCATTGAAATTAAAAAGAAAAAAAACATTTGCTCGAGTTTCTGGTCTTGGGGGAAAAGTAACAAGTAACTTAACAACTATCGCTTCATTTAAATTAAGTCCGATAAATCAAGGTGAAAAGGGTTTGTGGTGTCAAGCATTTGTCATACCAAAAATTACTAATTATTCTCCACCGCAAATGAACATTGATCAATCAATGATGCATTTCAAGGACTTAACCTTGGCAGATCCCAATCCTACTTCAATGATAACAATCGATTTATTAATCGGTGCAGATCTTTACTCCTCAATCAATCTCGATGGGGTGAAAAAGAAGGCAAAAAATGACCTTGTCGCTCAAAATACAATTTTTGGGTGGATTCTTTCCGGTAACGTTTCTTCTTTCTCGCATTCACATGGGACAATTCATGTGCACCATTGCAATTTTCAAGAACTAAAATTTGATCTTCAAAAATTTTGGGAAATTGAAGAACTTCCGCCCCAAACTTTTAAGTTTTCGGAAGATATAAAATGCGAAGAGCATTTTGTATCTACACGTTATTGTGTCCCTTCTGGCAGATATGTAGTTCGCCATCCATTTAAATAGGGACCCCCCATTGACATCGGAGAATCTAAATCCAAGGCCCTTGCCTCTTTCCTGCGGCTAGAAAAACAATTTGAAAAATCAATCTCATTGAGAACCCATTATTCAACATTTATGATGGATTATGAAGGATCAGGTCATATGTCGATAGCACGTGATATTTGTCAGTTTAATCAAGCTGTTTTCCTACCTCATCACGCAGTAATTCGACTTGATCACCAAACTACGAAACTACGTGTAGTTTTCAATGCGTCTTCGAAAACAAAAAATAATACGTCCTTAAACGATCACTTGTTTTCAGGCCCCAATTTACAAAAGGATTTGGTTTCCATTCTTCTCAATTGGAGAAATTATCAGTACGTTTTCATAGCTGACATTATTGCAATGTACAGACAAATTCTCATGGATCCAGTCGATCGTCAATATCAGTTAATTTTTTGGCGTTATCCTGGGGAACCTGAAATCAAAATTTACGAGTTAAATACCATAACATTTGGCACTTTTTCTGCCCCTTTCCAAGCACAGCGGGTCATTCTTCAATTAATTAAAGATGAAGGTCAAAATTATCCTTTGGCTGTTTCAGTTCTCGAAAATGATCGGTATGTCGATGATGTAATGTCAGTGGATGAAGAAATTGATCAAGCAATTGAAAAGAGAAATCAAGTAACTCAATGTTTACAAACAGCTGGATTTGTATTGCGAAAATGGGCTAGCAATTGTTTCGAAATTATAAAAGACCTGAATCCAGAAAATCACGGTCTCGCGTTAGAAAAACCTTTTGATGTTGAAGGTGAAATCAAGGTTTTAGGTCTCAAATGGAAACCACACCTTGATTCGTTCAAATTTCATACCAATGTCCCAGAAAAGGGAGAACCTACGAAGCGAAACATTCTTTCTCTTATAGCTCGCTTATACGATCCGTTAGGGTGGTTGTCTCCAGTCATCGTCATTCCAAAAATTCTTATACAAGAATTGTAGAAACTTTCAATTGATTGGGATGAAAAGGTCCCTGATCATATCAGTAACAAGTGGAAATTGTTTTACGAACAATTAAAATATTTGAACGATGTCAAAATTCCACGGTGGACTGGATACAAAAAATCCGCGAATTCAATTGATTTACATGGTTATTGTGACACGTCAGAACAGGCTTACTCTGCAGTGATTTATTTAGTTCTTGAAACAGAAATGAAAGAAAGAAAGGTTTCGCTCATTTTTGCAAAAACAAAAGTAGCACCAGTCAAAAAATTAACAATTCCAAAACTAGAATTGAACGCTGCTTGGTTATTGACTCGAAGCTTACTTTACGTTATTAAATCGCTAAAAATTCAAATAAATAATGTAAATTGTTGGTGTGACTCCACGATTGTTTTACGTTGGCTCAAAAAATTACCGTCTGAAATAAAGGTTTTTGTTTCAATTCGCATCGCTTACATTCAAAATAAATTGCCTCAAGCTACATGGAGACATGTACCTACTTTCGAAAACACCGCCGATTGTGCGAGCAGAGGAGTATTTCCAGCAAATTTAACACATCACAATCTCTGGTGGACAGGTCCCGAATGGCTAATTCTTGACTCAAATTCGTAACCCAATCAAAATTTTCTTTCAAATGAACCCATCACTTTAGAAGTGAAACAAGTTCATATTGCTGAAATTGAATCTACTGAATATAATGTGTCTACTTGGACTTTACCCAATGACGTTTCATCTTGGTTAAGATTGGTTCGAGTGACAGCATTCGTATTTCGATTCATTCAACTGTGTCGATTTCCTAACGTAGCTCTTACAAAAAATTTCCTTCACGTCGAAGAATTAAAAAGCGCTGAATTATTTTGGATTAAACACGTTCAAATGAATTTTTCTTTAAGGAAATTTTTGCTCTAAAAAACAAAACTCGACTTCTAATGTCAAGTCCGTTACTGTCATTAGACATATTTCTCGATCAATTTGGTTTGATTAGGGTAGGAGGGCGTTTGCATCATTCAGAAATGCCTTCAGAACAACGTCATCCTATTTTACTACCTAAGTGCAGAATTTCCCAGTTGCTTGTGCTTTACATGCATTTAAAAACGTATCATGGAGGCATACAATTGACACTAAGAGTTTTGCGAGAACGCTTTTGGATTCTGAAAGTTCGCAACTTGGTTCGAAAGATCATCCATGCTTGTGTCACTTGCGTTCGAGTGAAAGCAAAAACCGAAGAGCAATTTATGGCAAAATTGCCAGCAGTTCGAGTTCAAATTTCACGACCCTTTTCGCACTACGGAGTGGATTACGCAGGTCCCATTTTAGTAAGAAATTCGTCAGGGCGCGGTTATAAAAGTCACAAGGCATACATTTCTTTATTTGTTTGCCTATCCACAAGAGCAATTTATCTTGAATTAGTTCACGATTACTCGACAGCAGCATTTATTGCTGCGTTAGAAAGATTTTGTGCTCGTTGCGGTTTTCCTATTTGTATGTACTCGGATAATGGCACAACTTTCCAAGGTGCTGAACGAGAATTGCGTGAAGCTTTCAAAACTGTCACGAATGATCCGAAATTAAGGAATCATTTTGCGTCGGATCAGATCAATTGGCAATTTTTGCCCCCTTCGGCACCTCATCATGGGGGACTGTGGGAAGCAGGCGTAAAAAGTGTCAAGCACCATTTAAAACGCACGCTGAAATCCGCCACTCCTACAGGGGAGGAACTCACTACCTTGCTATGCAATATTGAAGCATGCTTAAATTCACGTCCAATCGCTCCCTTAAAAGACGATGTTTCGTCATTTGATGCACTAACTCCTGGCCACTTTTTAGTTGGCTCTGCATTAAAGACCATTCCTATGCCCTCTGTCCTTGATGAGAATGAAAATCGACTGAATCGATGGAAATCCATGCAACAAAAATGCGAACAATTTTGGAAAATTTGGTCCAAAGATTATTTACACTCGTTGCAGCCGAGGTCAAAGTGGCGTTATAGTAAACCGAATTTGGAGAAGGGTAATCTGGTTTTGTTAAAATGTGCACTATTGCCTCCAACAAAGTGGGAGCTTGGTCGCATTATTGAATGCTTTCCCGAAAGTGAAAATATAGTTAGAACAGTAAAGGTTCAAACAGCGCGATCTACTTATGTTCACCCAATAACACAACTTGTAAAACTGCCAATTTCTGATTCGAACAACTAAGCGATAACCGAAAACTAAAAATCGTTGTTATTTCATCTCTCAAATTAAATTTTTTTTTTTGATAAAATCTTATTTTATTTTATGTCAACGGTACATCATACTGTTTGAAATTTGTATATAGTGTAAATAGACATTAGTTTTAAGACGAAAAAAATACTTCATATAAATCTTTCGATATAAAAGTGTTACGAGCAAAAATTAAATATTGCACATAATGATAGAACAAATCATGTACTACGTTCCGACTAAAGATATCAATATTCGTTTGTAATAAAAAAAAAAAAGATAATACTATTTCATTTCAATCTGGTTCCATACAGCATTTCTTGAATGCTCTAGTTTAATTTTGAATCTGCAAAGATTCAACGCGGGCGGTTATTGTTGAATACTGTATAAAATTCGATAGGAAATTATGTGAAAAAGTGTGGAAAGCAGAAAATCAACAATTAAGAATGTGTGTGTATATCTTCTTGACTCAGTCAACCTGTTTTCAAAAGAACCAGAAATGCTTAAGAAGGCAAAGAGAACAGTCGGATTTTCAAGTTGTCATATTTCGCTCGTATTTCCTTGTAACTTGCTATTTTTCCATAAAGTTTACAGTGCAATTTAATAAAGAGATTGTTAACCACTACATGTGTCTGGATTTATTTATAAATTACGTCAAACTTCACTTTCAGTGCGTGATCTCTTTCTTGTCGAACAATCATCAATTAACTGTTTATTTAGTAAACAACACATTAAATTATTCAAAATTGGTAATTAATTTTTAATATATTTATATTATGCAGAAAATACAATTTTTATTTCCTAATAATAAGTGAAAAGAAGATTATGTTAAAATATTTTTTGGACACATTAATTTTACTTATCATGATTATTATGTCGTTTAAAGTACTACTATATTAACAAAAAAAATTTTTAAATCATATAAATTCTTATTTTTATTCTCATAATGTTATATTACATTTAATAAGAAGCGTGATTAAAGGTAAACGAATATAATACGATTATCTTTCAAGACCTCCATGGAATCGGCGTCGCCGCTCAGCACCGAAAATTGTTTTTCACATGACCAAAAATGTCAAATTATTTTATTTAAGGTTTTTAGTCTAAAAATTGCTTTGGAAAATACTTCTAAAGGTATTATGTGGACCCAAATTTTTTTAAAAAATGATTCGATATTTTTGAACTTGTAAATATATTTCGACACTGAGCGTCGACGCCAACTTCAAGGAGGTCTTACAATTACCGAGGACACCAATTGAACAAATAATATCCAATAATGCAACATATGGTAGCGGTGAAATAACCGATTTTCATTATTGTATACCAGTCAAGGTAACACAATATGACATCAATTATACAGTACCAGTAGATGCGCACGTACGAGTGAAAGGGCGATTAAGGGTTAATGAATATAGTACGATCATCTTTCAAGTGCCGAATAGACAGCACATACTTATTCTTGGCGATAAATATTTATCACATATGGAAATGAAACTTGGGATTCATGTAGTAAAATAAACACAAAACTATCGAGATGAATGATATTTCAGAGGAAAATGGAAATCTCATTATTAAGAGAAAAAATAGTCTGATTTTAAAAATATGAATTTATATTATGAATTTTTTTACTTTGAAGGAAATGCCATTAAATTATTATTCTAATAATAAATAAAATATTTATAATAATAATCAAATAACATTTAAATAAATAAACTTACTTTCGCGAAGTTCACAACGTTTCTAATCAATGATTTATGAAAATAAAAATTAATTTTCTATTTGAAAAATTATTTTTTTATTTATCTTTGATTAGAAAGTTGTGAACTTCATCGACGAAAATTTTTTTACAGTTTAGTAACTGGAGTTATCGTGAGATTAGAACCGCCTTATAAACGAAGATCATTGAAATTTGATTCTTCAACAACAAAAACTGACAGAAATGATAATACACCATTCAGGTGTATTTTGAGTAATATGTCGGGCAGGTTTATTCGCATACTATTTTGGTCACCAAGGAAACAGGAATTCGAAGGCTCTGTTTTAAAGCAGGTAAAAGATTTCTAGTATGGTATTTAAAAAATATAATTTTCTACATAAAAAATGTATTATTAACTATTAAGATTACTATACTATGTTATATTTTACTTTTTTCAGATAATTAGGATTTCAAGACCTCACGTCTTATTAGCGAATGCAATGTATAACAAAGGAAGAGAGGATCTAATGGAGATAGAGCTCTCGGTTCAAAAGCACACAGTCGTCGAATTATTGGGGCCAATGCCAACGGAAGAAGAGGAGATAATGTATGAAGAAACAGAATTTAAAAATATTGGATCGTCAGTAGGAAAATTAATTTGTAAGTATATAAAAAATTATTTATTGTTATTTTTTGCTATAATAATATGTTATTATTAAAAAAAATAAAAAATACTTTTTTTTATTTATATTTTTTGTTTTTTTATTTCTTTAATAGCCATTGAGGGATACGTGAGGACACCAATTGAACAAATAATATCCAATAATGCAACATATGGTAGCGGTGCAATAACCGATTTTCATTATCGTATACCAGTCAACGTAACAAATATGGCAGCAATTCAACAGTACCATTAGGTGCGCACGTACGAGTGAAAGGACGTTTAAGGGTTAATGAATAATAATAATATGATCATCTTTCAAGTGCCGAATAGAGAGCACATACTTATTCTTGGCGATAAATATTTATCACATATGGAAATGAAACTTGGGTTTCATGTATTGAAACACAAAAATATCGAGATGAATGATCTTTCAGGAGAAAATGGAAATCTCATGCTTCGAAAAAAATCTTCTCATTCTCCTGACAACACCAGAATTCCGTCAAAGGTATTTACATATAACTAATTATAAAATAATTTTATTATTAAAAATATAAATAAAAAAATATAATTTTAATGTTTTAAATAAATTAATTTTCTCTTTCTTAAAAAAATATTTTTTTTATTTTTAGAAACAAATATTGTTTCCATATAAAAACATCAGGCCTCGGATTGTATTGCTTTTTCAAAATATAATATTTATGTTTTTTAGTATTTAGTAGTACACTCTAAATCTGAATCAGTGAATGTTTCACTGATCTCAATTAATTGGACGAGTTTTCTTAAATTCATTAGTAAAATTTTACTGAGAATCAGTAAAAACCACTGATTGTCAATGAAATTCCACTGATTCATCAAAGAAAACTCGTCCACTGAATTCAAATCAGTGAAATATTCACTAATTCAGATTTAGAGTGTATAAAGTCAACACTATTTTAAATATGTACATTTTTTAAATAATTATTATAACAATTTTTAATTTATGTTTCATTTATCCTTAGATTTCTAAAAACAACGACAATGCAGCAGTAACAGATGAAGATAAAGAAGACATTAACTTTGATTTATTTCTTTAAATAATTTTTATATAATGAAAAATGACACATTTCAGTGTTTTTTCTACTAAAAAAATTTAAGTATTATTAGATATATAAATATATAAAAAACGATTAAAAGATATGAAAACTGTTAAATTTAAAAAAGAGATTTTAAGTTTATTATTATTTTAATAATTAAATTATGATTTTTATTATATTATGAAAAATGACACATATTAGTGTTTTTCTACTAAAAACATTTCAGTATTATTAGATATTGTTACGAACCGAAAAAATATTAATTATAAAATTACTATTTCCTATGTCCTGGAGGCACCAAGCTGCCGAAATAAAAAAAATTCCGTTTATTTTATGGGATCGTGTATCCTATTTTAGAAGAAAACTGCCAAGTTACGTTATTCGAAAATTGAATTTTAAGGGATAAAACACAATGAAACAATTAAGACCCTTTTACACATTTATTTTAAAAAAAGAAATCTTGAATTTAAAATATAGAAATGATACAGTAAGATAAGAAGAAGGAACGATACATGTTTTAAAACTTACTCTACTGCTTATTATACCGTCGCAAGCTAACGAGGGCGAGGCGTCGAGCTGCTTTCCGACGGGCGGAAAAATACACACACTTAGCAAAGCGCGAAAATGTCTGTTGGTAGCGCACGAAAATGCACTCACGGGTCCACCGAATCTAAACAGCGCAGGCACCACACGTGCGGACTGGCCGGTCAAAAAGACAAAAATTCAATAATTTGATTTTATTCAAATTACTGGATTTTTATTAAAGACGACTTCCGTTGGACTTCGTCGGCGTGAAGTATTTACTTTAACTTTTCGTCCGTCCAATTTTAATCACTATCTATGTAGTGGATTGTAAAAATTGAAAATCCGACTCACGGACGGGCTTAGTCCCGGCGTCTCAAAATCGTTTTTATGCCTCTGAAAAATTTCAGAGCTGACTCGCGAATGAGAGTTGTACTGCAATTAATTGACTTCCGCGATGTTCTTTTATATGAACGTTTAGAGACTTCAGGTGGGAAAATTTTGTGGACTAAGGGTTTTTAACATGTGATAAAGGCGTGAGCTCTGGGCCTGTTACTATGCCAATAATGCTGAGTTTTTATTTTCTTTTAATGGTATAGCCAAATATAATAATATGCACTTGATAAAATCAAGCATAATTATTATTGAAAAGACTTGTTGTCTTTTGGATTTATTTTATGAATTTTCCTTGTTGGAAAATGATTTGATTTTTGGTATTTTTACCCTTTTTTTTATTTGCGACAATTACAACTTTGATGTTGTGTTGTCATGAGCATGTAGGATTGTTAGGCCCAGAATACGTAATAAAAAGAGTGGGGGGGGGTAGAGTAAGAAAGGATGGAAGCTGAAGAATTACGTTCAAGGAAAAGCTCATCGCGTAGATTTATTTGAACTATTATTATTATATCCTTTTTTTTCTTTTTTTTCGCGAGAAGTCCAATTTCTAATGTGGCTCCTGTACTCATCCATACTCATTTTTAGACCCGCAAGTGATAATATCGTGCCTCACAAAACAAGGTATCCATTGTTATCATTTGCA